AGTGAGTTGTATTTCCTTCTCTAAAATTGGGAAAAGAGTGAGACTCGAAGTAAGTGTCCTGTGTCAACAGCAATGAAGAAGCCATAATTAGCATTTCTCAGGTCTCCAATTCTTCCTGCTTTATATTCATTAACATCCTGCTTTATGAAGATCTAATTCTGCTTAAAAATAGTTGAAAGGGGTTAGATCAATTAACTTTCTTGCAATAAATTATTCTGTAAAAACAATTGCCAGAAGAGACCTGTGAGCTTCGTCATCCATGTGTTCATTTCAGAATAGTTAAATTTCTGATGTTACCTTTCACATTGTAACAAAATTTTCATACAAGAGTTGCTCATAAGTGCTATGGATGGCATGTAAAGAGATTCTCTATTCCTTAAATGCCAAAATTCTGTTTCTTCATACTTCATTTCTGCTAAAAGTAAAGTTACTTCAGAATTCTGGAAGCTGAACCAAATATATTAGAACTAGATGACAGTGAGACTAGTTGGCTATTTTTTTTATCAGTTGTGAATAGCTGTTTTTTTTCTTCTTCTGTTTAAACAAAAACAAAAACAAACAAACAAAAAACCAACAAAAACAAAACAAACAAAACAAACAAAAAAAAGAAAACCATATTATCTGTCACTTTTTCCTGCTTTCCATTTTAGGATAAGGCATAAAATCTGGCAGGGTTTTCAGTCCCAAAGGTATTAGGGACTCCAAGAAAATATACTACCAACACAAAGGAAGCTCCCTGGAACTTCACGATCATTTCTTGCCCTTTATTTTTTCAAAATTTTCTTCAACTTCCTATCCAGCTAAGAAGGAAGTGTTTTGTATTTTTGGAATTGTGTTTGTACTTTTTTATATTATTAGAAGAAGCCTGGGAGAGTCATTATTAAGGTCCAATATTGCCTCAAGAAATTCATCTGCATGTACAAGAGTGGGCTATGTTGCAAGCCTTTTTCAAGAGGCATAACTAATTTTGAAGTTATAGCTGGATGTTAAACAATGACCTAAAAATATTTTACACTACCTCTAATGATGGAGAACTCTGACTGATTTTAAAACTTGCATCAGCATTAGTTTACAGTTTTCACACGCTCGGCATCTTACAAGACCTACTTAGCAATGAAATAAGCATGGAGAGACATCTTTCTGCTTAAACACTTCAGGCTGAAAACATTGAGAAATGTTCTATACTTGGAAATTATTGAAGTCAAATCCTTGTAATAGTGTTGGGGTATGAAGTTCTTAAGACTATAAAAAAAAATCTGGATTTCAGTTCTACCACTGCAAGTGAGAATATGAAATGTAGTAAAAATGTTAAACATGATCTTTGTTTAGAGATAATTACTTGTTTTTTTACAGTATACTTTCATAATAACTTAACTGTACTTTTCTGTAGTTACATGTATTGAAAGAGAGTATGGGTCTGTTCAGAAAAAAATCAAAATAATATAAATCAAAAGCAAGTTTTGATCAGTTATAAAAATATATGTTCAATATTGTACATCCACACTATTTCAGTATCTCTTAAATATTTCCTGTATCAGATACTTTCCTTTCATTCATAAATTTTAGAAAGATCATTTGAAAAACTTATTTTTAATTTTCTTTGTTTGAAAGCTTTGTGATATTGAAGAAGGAGAAAGAAAAATGTTAAGTAGGCAATGATAGGTCTTATGCCATGTAGATGGACTTTTTACTTAATAGCTTCCAGTTGGTCTAAAATCTTTATATGCAAGCTACATTTGAGACTGTCGGTTGCAATGTATTTTCCTACCTATCCTGTGAAAATTGAGACAGGGAGAGGTTTTCTTTTTTTATAAGATTTTATATCTATTTAGATAAAATAGATATTAAACAGATTGAACAGCTACTCTGGGAACTGAAAATAAAATTGGGAAATGATGGAGAAATCATGATTGAGTCTGAAGAGACAAAGATCTCAGATTGCAAAGGGTACAGATCCTTTATGTTCCTCAAATATTACAAAATATAAATAGAGATGTTCAGGCAAAAATAAAATGATTAAAAATATTAATGTCATGTTGTTAAAACTTACTCATTCCTAAATTCCACAAGTGTTTGAGTGAAGTGCCCCAGAATACTTCTAAAATTTGCAGCTCATGTCCTGGGAGATTTTTAGAGTAATTTTACTCCATGAGAAAAGATTTTTCCCCCCCTCCTCTCAAGTATTTACTGTGTAACCATGTATTGTCAAGGAATCTTTAGTCTTGAGGCTTTTTAAATATTACTAGTCTGTGTGTGCCTGCGTTATAGTGTGGTAATTCATATTGTATTGTCCTGTGTCCTGGATATTCCAGATCTCAGAAAGCTATATTGGGTCACTTCATCTGTTAACAGAATAATTAGTGCTTAGAAGTAGTTTTTTCCCCTCCTTGTTATTTCTGTAAGTTTAAAGTAGAGCTTGTATATATGCAGTTATCTGAAGATTTAATTACTATGTTTCAGTGACCTGCAATGCTTAAAGACTGCACTTCTCCTGTAGAAACTTAGGTCTACCACTTTTATAACATTTGCCTAATATTATTGTGCATGAGAACTGTAGAATTTTGTGCCAAAGAAGAACTTTTAATAGCTGCTCTTCTTAAGGGTTTTTATGAAACTGCTTTCAAAATAGGTTATGGACTTGGTACATCTGGTATTGTTTGGAAGTACTGGGATATATTTGTTTTACACCTAGAGCCCGTGAAAAGGTGAGCATCTCCTTTGTTCATGTTTATAAAATAGGAAGAAAACCTATCCTAAAATGAAGGCTCCATAAGGTAAAAGGCCATGTCAGTTACTTTGCTTTATGCTGTTTGTGTTTCTGAAGTTGCATAGGAGAGTGTCAGCTGAAATATAGCACAGAGTGAGAAATCACCTGGGAATTTATGAATGACTCCAGAAAGTAGCCTTTGCTATGTAAGTGGGGTTCAGGTAGTTGTCACACAAGGGTAACTCTGTTTGCTTAGATCTTCAATAAAATTAATGTTGTCTGAGCATTATCCATGGTAGGGTACAGGTAGCTTGCCAGGAATTCTGAATTGCACTATCCCCAGTCAGTGATGACTTTGGAGGAAGCATACCAGTGAATGAGCACACCTCATTAGCATATTAAATTCATCTTCATTCATTGTTCTTCCCAAATTTTCAGTTGTATATTGGACAGGAAAAGAAATTGTATTTGAAGGGCTCTGTTAGACTGAGGAAGATTTTACTGTTGTTGCTTGTCTCAGAAAGATGAAGCTGTACGATGCATAAAATTACTGTTACATGGGTCAGAGACAGCTGGTGTAGGTTGCTACATAGTGTGCTGCTTATCAGTGGCTTTGTCACCCATAACTCTTGGAAACCCATAACTCTTTGTCACCCATAACTCTTGACTGTGATATGGAACTTCACCTTTTGTAGAACATGAGGTGTGGAAAGCATCAAGGCTTTGGTCAGGGCAAACTGAATGCCAACACAGATGCATCAGGTGACATGTTCGTGGTATCATTACTGTTCTCTGACCAAAGTTTGTTATGTTGGTTTTCACTGCTTAGGATTAATTTCTTCATTCTCCTTCACATGGTTAGCTGGGGTTTTTTGTTTGTCTATTTTGTTACTTGGCTCTGATTTGTGTAGTGTTTGGACTCATGGGTGTCCTGTGGGTTTTCTGCTTTATTTGGAAAGATTACATTTTAAAATCTAAAACAAAAGCTATCAACACATTTTGTTTGAAATGTTTCATATTTATAGTTCCCTAAAATTCTGTTTTCTTTATCTTCCCAGTCACATGGGAGCTTGGAGGGAACACACATACATCTCTAATGCCAGCATTGCAGATTAAAAATAGTTTTCCTCCACCAAATGCTAACAGCTGGTTGGCTCTCTTTCCCTGCTGAAGATGCATCATATAGTATTTTCATTTTTCTGCTGTTGCCAAAATGTTAATGGATCAGGCTCTGCAAGTTGTACTTTGTAAATTCTGCTGTAATACTAATTACACTTAACTGCATTTCTATGAGGCTTTTCACAACTCCAGTCAAGCACCTATTACCCTGTCTTGCAAATAAATAAACAGAAAGTGGTTGAGAGAGGTGCTTTGTGTTGATTTAAATAACAATCAGATAATCAACGCTTCTGTAAACCAAGTGTTGTTTGGGTAGCATGGAGATATAATGGCACTCCTGAGAACAGGTCTTTTAAGTTGTGCTCTCCCAGGATGAATCCCTAACCTTTGTACCTTTCCTTTACTTGAAGTACTCCAGCGCAAATACTGTGGAAAGTCTCTTGTCATACTGAAGTTACAGCAATTGCCTATTGAAATGATTTCTGAACCGAGTATCATATAATAGGTTTTCCCCATCTTGAAGTACTCAGCAAAACACTTACCATATTAGAAGAAGTGAATCTGTTAGTTTTATTTTATTTTGAAAATTCTTTCATAATGTCTGGGACTTAAAGTGATATTGCCTTCATGTACATGATCCATAATGTTTACATTTTGGCATAAACGCTGAAGGAACTAGGGCAAAACATGGAAAGACATGAGAGTTAATAAAATAACAGATGGCAGCTGTGTTCCAATGGAAATAATTATATGCTGCCTTTTTAATAGCATAAAATCAATGTGTTGTTTTTGATTAATACAGTAGGTTTACTGGTCATATGGAGATTAGTGTGTGATATAAACCTGAAAATTAGTTTGTTGTCACGTATTATGTGATATGATGGGGATTAATTTCAAGAATGCCTTAAAAGTATGCTCTAAACAAAATCCTTTCTACACTTACTGTACTAGATGGATTAATCCTGTTGCCATATGGACTTGAAATTGCCTTGGGTATGCAAAAGAAAAATCTAGATAAATGATAACTCGTTTAATACTCGGTGGTTTGTGTTTATGGAAAACAGAATTCCTCAGGATCTTCTAAAGGAAAACAAGAGTGTGCCAAAGGTAATTTCAGTGTTGAGTGTTCACGGATGGTAAAATTATATTTAACAGATGTTTGTAATTTTTGCAGGTAATAGCTCTAGCAGATGCAGCAGAAGAAAATCAAGCCAACATGTTCCAGGCATTTGCAAAGTTGAAAAGTGCCACCCATCTGGTGATTATGCTGATTAGTTTGTGGCAGAAGCTCAGCACTGATCAAGTTGCTATTTTGGAAGCTACGTTTTTGCCATTAGCAGAAGATACACAAGAGCTGGTAAGAATCTGTAAGAGCTGCTTAAAAAATGCTCATTCACACATCTTAAGCCTTTAAATTTCCTTATTTCTCCCTGTACTTTGCTGAAGACTGTCCTTTGAAGTAATTTAAGTAGCCTTAGTAAGTAGGTGTTTGGTGCAGACTGTGCTGATTTCACAGCAAAGTGGAAAAGTAGGAGTAGATTAGAGAATGTTTCAAAAGAGGACATGTGTGGTACCAGTTAAATTCTGCTTAGCCTTTCCTTACCAGGCCAAGTCGGAATGTCTCACATAAATTTAGCTGAGTTTCACCTTCTGTCCTGTGGTTAGGATAAACAGAATAAGACCCCTAGGTGTTCAAGACTCTAATATGAATGTTCTATAACATACATGTCCACATTCCAATAGAAACATAAAAGGTACACACAGCAAATACAGTACATACATTTGAGTTTATTAATCATTTGCCATACTTTGTCCTCAGTGTATTTACAGTGGTTTATATAAGGGATGAAACTTATGAAGGAAAGTACTGTGAATAGACAATTTCCTTGTACTCCAAACCATGCTCTATATAGTTTTGCATTCTGTGGATGTCATGCTAATTCTGTTTTGATTTAATGAGTGTGACCAGGTGAGATTGTGTATAAAATCTGGAGATTGGTCTGTGAACACAAGTGATGCTGCTTATATCCACACCTAAGGTCCACAGCTAAACACTGCTTTAGTTGAATTAAAGAATGTTCTCAACTTAAGAGTTGATCCCCAGTTAGTTTCAACAATTATCTTAAGTACACATTAATTTCAATTTTCATGCTCTGCACAGGGTTTTTGCAATGTACAGTGAATCCAGATTTCGGTGCATACCTGGAATACTTAGAGTGGTTTGTGGTCTTTTAGAAAACTTGTGCTGGGTTCCAAGTGAATATAGGATCTTCTGCCATTTCCACCTGGGGGGCAAAAAGTGTTTTGGCATTTTACATGATATTGACTCATACCAGGCAAAGCAAAACAGTTTTGTTGAGATTTGTTTTGGATTTAGTCCTCATTTAAACTTGGAAAACCAAGCTTTGAAACTGAGGAACGTGCATTCCCATGAACTGAATTCAAAGAAAGTTCCTATGAATCTCCTAAAAGCCCAAACAAACATTTTTTTATATGACTAATTTTTATTTTGCCATCAGGAATTGGGTTGCTTTGCTGCATGTTTTGATGAAATATGGTACCATTTGTTGTATCCTGTAATGCAGGATTTTGTTTCAGCCTATATCTCGGTGTGGTTTTAACGTGGTGGTTAACAATGTTCCATGTTGAAGCTGCAAGACTTCACATAAGCATTGTAAGGATGTATATCCTGCAGAGCAGTCAGGATGAAAAATGTAAACCAACAACTGGAGGGGGAAATAGAAACAAAACCTTTACAAAATACTGAATTATGTGCCAAATTATGGTACCACAGAAATCTGAATGTAATTTAAGAAGCTTAGGCAGGGAATGGGGAAATCTTCTGACATACCAATGATATTTACAGACAGAAGCTTCTAGCTAGTGTTCAGGTTTCCTTGTAAGCAGTGAAGTAGAACACTGGTGAAAGAAAATACTCTGAAGAATTTTTATTTACTCTTCAAACAATTCTGCACAATGATTTGTTGTATTTTTATTTGGAGGGAATGTGTTAGAAGACAGTTTGGATGCAGTCTACGTCTCCAGAATATTTTCTGCCTTGTGAGTGTTAAACTATGGAAGTGTTTTCTTAAAAAAAGGGAAATGTTTGGAATACACTGTTAACATAAAAAGAAATGCCTCTTTTACCATAACATCAACATTATTCTCATACACGCCATTTCATTTAGAACAGATTGTATCTTGTTTTCTAGACCTGGCAATCACTTCAGTTAGATATTTAGCAAATGCGAAAGTGGCATTCTCTCTTCTCATTGTGTCACCATTTTTTCTCAGACTACTAAATGATTTCTCTTGCTGCAGACTTTTGTCTAAGAACATAAAAAATTTGAGTTTTCTTCTTTACAATGAAATAGTGGAAGAAATACTGCAAACTTGCATATTTTATATGAATAACAGATATTTGGCATCATGTTTTGTTTCTGGCAGTAAATTTCTAACTAACACCTAGATAGCACTGCTTTGATAAAACTGACTAAAAAGGGTTGTTCAGTGTTGGAAAGACAAGGACATTCCTATTTTTCAATGATTCTTTCATGAATGATACACAGTTGTAGAAGTAGAGCATCAGAAATATAACGAGATCTCTCTTGGGGTAAATGAGCTAATTCTTCTGATAATGAAGCCACTAAAAATTGATGCCAAAACTGAAGAAAAGTACTTGCAGGGAAGTTAGGTACAATTTTGCCCAATGTACTTTGTTACTGTGGGACTAAAATAAAATCCATAGTTAGAATATAGAAGTATATATTAATACTATTTCAGAGCATAGTGTTACAGCTGTATGCAAACTATACTTTCACATGTATACTGGTTTTGAGTTCTGTATTTTTCTATCTGTTGAAATATATGGTAGAAAAGCACTTTAGGGTGCTTTTGGAGACAAAAGAATCCATGATTTGTTAATAATGTTAAAAAGTACTAGAGATTTTGTTACATGGAGAGTTGGTCACTGTTCTGCTAGACTAGCATATTTGTTATTAGCTTGTAACAGGGACTGACAGCAGTTTGAAATACTGTAAAGTCTGAAACAAAAAACCCCCTCATATTTCTAAGGGTTTTTTTTCAGTGATTATCCCTTACCAAGCTGAGTTTTCTGGATAGAAAAGGATTTGAAAAATGCTGAGTTTGTTATAAAGTACGTGTTTACAATAGGAAATCCGTTTGGGAGAGGAGGGAATTTGTCCAGGCTAATTTAAAGGGTTCAAAGGGTTCATGCTACACAGGGTAGTTTTGATATAATGGTTGGATGGCATCTGGATTGACTGATGGCTCATATGCCTGATGGTTAAGGTATTAATGCTTTCTTTGTTTAACACATTACAAAGGGAGAATAGGTCTGTCGATACAAACATTCTGACTTTAAGACTGATGGAGGGCCCTTCGCAATACAGCCATCAACAGCAACTTTACTGAAGAGTAAATATTTTCCTAGTTCTCCTGATGTTACCAAATAATTACATACAAGTGCTTCATTGCTCAGAATCATTCCTTGCTTGTTGTAGTCACATTTGTGTAACTATAGTTAACAGTAACAGCTATAAACCGGTGTTGAGGAAGTACATTTCCATCTCTCTTTATTTATGTTTGGAGTCATACCAACCAAATAAATGTCTCTATTAGATCTTAGGATTTTATTGAAGTTGTAATTTGAAAGAAAAATATGCCTGAGGGTGAAATGCATATTTTAATTGACTCTATGATTTACAGTAATTAACTTACATTAGGGACTATAAATTTACCACTTCGCAGTGTTGATTAGATAAAGTTGAAAAATGTACTTTAATGCAATGACGAAAAAGAAATGGTGTCAGAAAACACTTCTGAAGTGCCTGTAAAAGTCACAGGAGTTACTATCAAAAGTGTCTCTACTTACTGTAAGAAGATGATCTGAATGTAATGCACAAAAAAAAAGAAAAAAATCATTTGGGAAAGACTAGATAGCCTGCTAGGTTTTATGCATGATAGCAAATGGGTTTTACTCTACAGTTCTTGAGTAATGTAAAAAATACCATTTTTTCCTTTACTGAGTTTAACCTCAGTAAAGGAAAGAATCCTCTACTGAGATTAAACTCTCAAAATCAAAGTTAAGGTTATTTCTGTAATTCCAGCAGGATTAATTCTGTCATGACTGACATAAGAAAAAATTTTCTTTGAATTTTCCATTGCCGTCCAGTACTTTTGAAGCTTTGAGCTAATAATTGTATCTTTGGCAAGAGTAATTTTTATAAACTCTAATTTTTAGAATTTATTGGAAATTGTCACTTTAATTCTTGTAATTAATCCAACCTAGCTCTTGATTGCCATAAAAATCACCTGGAATTAGTTTTTTGTGCCTTATATTTTCTATATTCCACTTGTCATTGTAACCACTTCTTAAATACAAAGTTCCAGCTGTGTACCAAAAGGAAATATTTAAAAATAGGCTGAAATATTTAATATTTTCTTGTTTGCTATCGGCTAGTACAAATTATCTTTTAGTTAAAATTTCTTAAATGTAACAAAAAACCTCACCCCAAACCCCATAAACCAATACAATCCCACAAAACCACCATAAGGCAGTGGGCCGTAATGATGGATAACTTGAAGCCAGTTTTCTATATGGTTGTATTCTTTATTTTTGTGAACAGACAAGTTTACTGCAGATATATTATGTTTATTCCCCTCCTTCTTTTTAGAAACAAGGTGGATAATATATCTGCAGATAAGTGATTTTAGAGAGAAAAACACATGAAATTTGTTGCCTTTTATCCAGCTTGGAAAATTACATTAAATGACATTCAGTAACATTTTTTAATGATAAAAACTAATAGATAAGTCTTCCACCTATTTGAATCAATACCATGCAACAGAACAATTCAGAAAGACTCTTCTGATACAGTGAACCATCTAAGTCTAAAAGAAATGGGGGCAAAAAGCTAGTAAGCTTTAAACCCTCAATCTCTAAAATAAAAGGGAGGTGCTTTCTGCTTTTCCCAATAAGCCCCATAATTTTTCAGTAAAAAAGATCAGTCTCAGCCTGAAGCTTAGTTTGGTTCAGGGTAACATAAGTTTGTCAAGTGATGGGAAGAAGGTGAAGAAATGAGATTGCCACACTTCCCTGGGCAGGGAAAGTCCTGTATTAGGGAGAAAAGTTAAAAATGGAGTAGTGGTGCCCGGTTCCTTTGCTCATGTGTGTGTATGTGACCCCGCCAGAAAATAAGAGAAGTAAGAGACCATAGTTCAAGTACCTCAAACATTCTTTTATAGTATGTTTTGATATGGAAATCAGTGCTCTGCCTGCTAGCCTGCTTTCAAGAGGACCAGAGTATGCCAGAGATAACTCGAATCATAGAAGCT